GTGAGTTGGACACTACAGCCTTGCAGGGGTGGGCTGGAATCATGGCACCTATGATCTTAGGGCCAAGTCCCACCAGCAGCGCAGAGTTTTTTCAACGCCCGAATGTGGACGTGTTTGTGGAGAGGTGCAAAAAATCGCATTGAGTTTCCTCAACCGCACATCTCCACAAACACGTCCAGATTTTTGCGTTGAGGAAACTCAAGGGTTCTCCTAGTGGGGCTTTGGCACTTAAACTTTTGACACTGTGACCCGAATGTCGTGGTAAAGAGACTTGGCTTTCGTAACCAAGGGCCCCGGCTCGAATCTGTGCGTTCTAGGAGGAGGGCTGGGGGCCGATGTACGGATCACCTTTTTTTTTTTTATTTTTTTTTATTTTAAGCCCATGTTGTTGTAGAGGTGGGATACTAGATGGATGGCAGTCACCCAGAGTACTCGGCCACTCAGTTGTCCAGATGAACCCCTCTGAAGACCCCACCCACCCTTCCTCTCATCTTTTTGCCCTGGTGCACCCCTACTCCCCCTGTCCTAACCTAGTGTTAACCACCCAGGATTGTGGGAAAATCCAAATCCATAATTCTTAAGAACGACTGGTTAATTTGGGGAAAAAAAAAGAAAAAGAGACAAAAAGTTGATGACTGACAGAAAGCGAAAACTGATGACCGGCTGGTTAACTGAGGCTTGAACCCCACTGGCTGGCGGTAGCTGGCCGCCAGCCTTTGGAAGAAATGTTTTGAGACCCCACTGCTCGCCGCAAACGCAAGCACTTTTTTTGCCACTCCGCCTACCTCTGCTTTCATAGCACACGAACCAATCCCCGTGCCTCCTTTTCGCACGGGATGGCTGGTACTCTGGACAACGTCTAGAGTCCGCCGGCATACCAGCCATCCCGTGCGGAAAGGAGGTACGGGGATTTGTTGGTGTGCTGAAAAAGCGGAGGCAAACTTGCCCGAAAAGGCAAGTCTTCTTCATTGGGTAACAGAAACCTTGGGAAGTGCCGAAAGTTGCTGTAGCAGTGGAGTCCCATTTCGCTTGCCCATTCCCGTCGGGTGCAACGATTTTGGGCTGGCGGATGCTTTCCTGGCCGCCAGCTACCGCCAGCCAGTGGGGTCCCTCCCTGAGGTCGCAGCCAGGATGGCTGCGTATGCATGGATGTCGTTTGTCGTTAGCGACCGGTTTCCTTATGGGGAATGTCGTGGACCCTGTAAGTGGGTTTAGAGGGCGTCGTTATGCATGTAATAAGGTTGCAGTCGCCAAGGGTGCCAACCGGTCGTTTTGTGAGGGAACGAGACAACGGTTGGGGGAGATGGTGGTGCGGTCGTCAGGTGGAGTGCGGGCAGCTGGAGGTCGTACCTCGGTTTTCCAGTATAGGAAAGGTTTTTATTATCTGACCGTTGAGTCTCCACCGAGATCGACCGTAGCAGTTTTTTTTTCCGTCATACAGTTCGGTATTACCGGCTCAATGTTCGCAGATGTATCTTACCTATACTGTTGGACAGGTACGCTGGCCGTTTTTGTCTAGGAGAAGGTTCAGTTTTTTTTTCCTGTCTGCGGTACTACTGGCTCAATGTTCGCAAATGTATCTTAGCTATATAGTTGGAGAGGTATGGTGGCTCTTAAAACGGGCTTCGCTCCACGTTCCAAACCGAAAAGTGAATGTGCAAAACGAAACTGGATTCTCGGCCCCTCCACCCCCCGCGCCCCGTGTCGGGGGAGGCAGGGGCACCGGCAGCGAGCTGCCTGCTTCGGCGAAACACCCGCCGTCCTGGCTGCGCCCCCACGCCCAGCGTGGTATCAGTTATAATTGCACTATGGGCCAAGAAACGCCGGAGTCACAGAAACGAGTTATAATTGCACTATGGGCCAAGATAGAGTTTCGAATTGCAGCTCGGGCAATCTATACAACCCAGCTTTCTGGCTAGGTAGGGTGCCCGAAGTGCAATTGCAAACTGTATCTCGCCCCAAAAGAAGGGCCAAGATAGGCAGGAGTCCCAAGGGGTAACTAGGGCACAGTCACGTTTTCAGTTCTAAATCCACTTCTGTTGGTACACCCCTTAACCCGACCCTGACCCTGACCCACACGAAGAAAAAGTTGATGACCGACCCTGACCCTGACCCTGACCCACACCAAGAAAAAGTTGATGACCTACCCTGACCCTGACCCTGACCCTGACCCCTGACCCTGACCCTGACCCTGACCCAGACCCACACGAAGAAAAAGTTGATGACCGACCCTGACCCTGACCCTGACCCACATGAAGAAAAAGTTGATGACCTACCCAGACCCTGACCCTGACCCTGACCCTAAACCCTGACCCTGACCCTGACTCTGATCCTGACCCTAAACCCTGACCCTAAACCCTGACCCTGACCCTGACCCTGACCCTGACCCTGGCCAACACATTCGCTGACGGACTGGTTTACCAACTGGCCTAGTTCAGTTGGTACACCCCGCGTAACTGCTGAAATCGAAGCAGATGGGTGAAATACTTCAATTTGTCAAGGCCACCGTGGATCCAAAGGGCATTCATCAAGGTAGACTTACCAACACCGCTTAGCACCTTCAAGAGAGGTTCAAAAAAAAGAAAGAAAGAAAAAAAAGGTACTGCCAATCCGTGGCAGCTCCACCCCTCTTCACGTTGTTAGTGATTATCTAAAATTGGTGAAGTACCGTCAGAATCAGCAATGAGGGGACCAAAGAATGATTTCGAAGTTCTAAAATCCAAGCGAAAAAAATAGATCGCTAAAGGCTGACATGTACCTCAAATGAGAAACTGCACACAGAGAGACTACCGAAACTTGAATTTTGAGGAAAAAAAGAAAAAAGACATAGCTGCTGACGGGAGTGATGCTGACGCTGGCGCCACTGACACGTAGGATACTGACGTTGGCGCTTCTCTCTCTCTCTCTCTCTCTCTCTCTCTCTCTCTCTCTCTCTCTCTCTCTCTTCATCTGGCAGGTAGGATGCTGATGTTGGCGCCACTGACACGTAGGATGCTTTTTTTTTTTTTTTGGGCGCCACTAACGAGTAGGGTGCTGACGTTGGCGTCGCTGACACGTGGGATGTTGAGGTTAAGCCCACTCTGAAGCATCCAAAGAGTACGAGTACGACGCTGGCCTGCCTGGGTGCGTGAGGATAATCGCGATGTGAACGTGGCGGCTGTTCGCACTGGCTTTCACGAGTGCAATGAAATGAACGTGTGTGCACGACCAATCCGAGAATCGAGCACGCAACCTACGGTTTGGCTCCTTGGGCTGGGCTGAAATGGGAGCCCCAAGATGAGTACTTCCCCCCACCTCAGCACGGATTACTCCGCCGCTACCTCCATTACTGATGTGTGCGATGCAGAGCTACGGTAGTACACCAGGAGAGCTGTCGAGGAGGGCTGACCTGCACCCCTCATCTCATCCCATATATAAGGTCCTAAGTTCCTCACACGCGGCATGGCCCCCGAGGCCGGCCTAAGTTCCTCACACGCGGCATGGCCCCCGAGGCCGGCCTGTTGTAGACTAACCCCCCTATAAGGCTATAACCAACAACGAGAGATACGGAAGACTTCGTCAAATTAGCTTCATCGATCTGCTGACACGTGGCCGAAGCCTACACAGAGCAAAGCGATCTGCCAGCTGTCAACGTCACGAAAGCTGCACATTATTTTTGGGTTTTTTTTTTGACATTATTTTTAGTTTTGTTTTTTTCCTTGACGGGCTTTCCCCGGCCATGGCAGTGAAGAGATTGCCGGCGGACGACATTGCGAGCAGAGGGCCAAGCAAGAGAGCCACCCCATTGCGGTCTTAACTCTTTAGACTCTTGCGCGCGCTGCGGCGCGCAGTGCACACCGACCAGTCGGCCGTCGATTACACACGCGATGGACATGGGTTGGTAGTTGCTGAGACAGGAGCGAGAGATCGCCAGCTACCAGAGGCATCAGCGAGCAGTTCCTGCGTATGCGGCATTGCGCGCACGTGGTCCTCGGCAATGGGCGAGATCACGTGGTCCTCAGCAATGGGCGAGGGCGAGATCACGTGGTCCTTGGCAATGGGCGAGATCACGTGGTCTCTCGGCAATGGGCGAGATCACGTGGTCCTCAGCAATGGGCCAGGGCGAAATCACGTGGTCCTTGGCAATGGGCGAGATCACGTGGTCCGTCGACAATGGGCGAGATCCCGTGGTCCCCGGCAATGGGCGAGATCACGTGGTCCTCGGCAATGGGCGATCGGCGTTGCACTGACTGTCGTCTTTAGCACCCCGAATAGAACCCCCTGTCATTAAAAGCTGCATAGCATTAGGGACAACTGCCAGCCTACATGATAGACACAGCGATAATGACGGTAAGGGCGGGTTCTATTCGGGGTGAACAGGGTAGCACAGATTACGCAGATCGTCACCAATAGAAACGAGGATCAAATGATGGTGCGGGGGCGTTCTATTCGGGGTCTCGCTCGTAGTCCGTGCTACCGTCTTCCGCCGAGAACAATGCACCCTGATCAGGTATGTATGCAAGCTTCTGGAGGCAGCCTGAGGAGTGATGGGGGTGCGTTGTGTACGAGGGTATACGGTTTATGAGTCAGGAGCACGCATCCACCGAGGCTCAACCAAGTCATAACGGACGCGCAAGTGTTCCCCGACCCGACTTCACCCGCATCGCACACAAAACTCACCCGCAAAATGCCTGCATCAGACCGGAAAGATAGCTTGTATACACTCGTTATCCCGGTGCGTTGTCTTTGGGGGAATCGCCCTCAAAATGCCTGCACCAGACCGGACAGATGGCTTGTATACACTCGTTATCCCGGTGCGTTGTGTTCGGGGGAAGACCGCAGCTTGATCGGCGCAATCCGAGCCGGCCGGAAAATACCGAGCCTGGAGGATCTCCTCTAGTGATAATAATAGGCTTAATCTTCTCATGAATAACAGGTAGTCCGTTACCGTCACCGTTACTGTCACCGTTACCGTCACCGTTAACGTTACCGTTACCGTTTCCGCTTCCGTTTCCGCTTCCGTTTCCGTTACCGTTGCCGTCTCTTTCCGTTACCGTTTCCGTTCCGTCACCGGTTGCCGTTACCGTTGCCGTTTCTTTCCGTTACCGTTGCCGTTTCCGTCGGCGGCGTTGAGAGCCATCCGGGAAAGGATCGAGCGCATTCGACATTCCGTGCACGTAGTATTCGAAAATAGCGCGCATGCGTGGGAGCTTATCCGGGTGATAATTGACGTGGACACTGACGGGCTTGACCAGGCTCATCCGAACGGCATCCTTACGGAGGATCTTGAACAATACCTTGCTGTTCATGAATAACAGGTAGTCCATCACCCTCCTCGACGCGTGCAATCCTGTGTATCCAGGTCTACTTGGGTAGTACAGCTCCTCGTTGAACACCGCCTGATCCCATGAGGACTCCTTTGCTAATCTTGCCGACACCCTGTCCAACAGTTCTATGGCAGGAACCGTTGGTCGGGCGTAGAAGAGTCCCGAGTTGAAGACCCAGATCCTCATTGTGTGGGCATATCTTGCCCATCCCATTGCCGGATCATCCGACACGTCATTGTACCCGTAAGCAGTGGCGTTGTCGGTACCATCAGTCATCGCTTCCACGTCGCAATCCCGATACAAGTGATCGAATGGATTCTGTAGAAAGACTACGTCGACGTCCGACAACAGAACTGCATAACCCAATGCAAGAAACTCTCTCAGCAACGCGAACTTGAGTCCCGATATGGCGTGATTCGATCCCACGCCTTGCTGAGCAGCTGACGCTCTTGCATCTCTTCGATAGAACGGCACCCCTTGCTCCGTACAGAACTCGGCGATCGTGTCGTCTAGTGCCCATACTAGAAGGTTGGTCACTGGAATCCTTTTCAGACTGGTGATCCATACGTCTAACATCGGCTGCACGTTCCTGTCTGAAATGGCGACGACCAGTTCCCGGTTCTTTGCTACCTTGGCCAGGATCCCGTTCAACTCCTCGTTGACCGTTGGATCGGGTTCGATCTCAGGATTCGTTCGCTGACTTTTCACGCTTCCTGGTGGTCCCACTCTCACTCTGTTCTCAGCACCTGCTGCCGTCGTTAACTGCAACCGCGCTCGTTTGCCTGTACGCACTTCTTCCCCTTCTTCTCCCTTTTGCACCTTTCCCTCCTCTTCCTTTGGCCCCTTCTCCTCCCCCTTCTCCTCCCCCTCCCCCTCTTCCCCCTCTTCCTCCTCCACCTCCTCCTCCTCCTCCACCTCCTCCTCTTTCTCCTTCGCTCGCCCTGTCCTCTTTACTCCCTTCGCCTTGCGCACATCTCCCCCTCCCTCCCCTGCACAGGTTTCTTCCATTCGAAGCCTGAGATCGTGCTCCGCTGCCAGCTGTTTTCGTGCTGCGTCTCTTTGGGTTTTCAGCACCCTCATTTTCTGCAGCGCATCGGCATAAGAGGTTCTGAGAACGTCGACGGACAGCTCAATGTCTGTCATCCTTTCTTCCACGTGTTGCCTGTACACGGAGGGCAGTGCATCCTCTTGTCGCTTCCTCTCCATCATCACCTCCGCTACGTCATCTTTCTCCGACTTCTCTGGCTCTACCACCTTCACAGTCGACCCCCCCCCCCGTTTGAACAACAAGAACCCCACAACCCCAAGAATGACACCCACACCCACAGCGATGCTGATCTTCTTGTCGTTCAACCGACCACCACCACCACCTACTCCTCCTCCTCCTCCTCCTCCCACTCCTCCTCCCCCTCCACTCCCTCCGACCCCTTTTCTTGACACCATCTTCAGCTCACTGTTTCCTTCAGAGTCTTCAGACTTGACGAGCTGTTGCAGCTTGGCTTGACAGAAAACAGGAGGGAAAGGGAGAAAATACCAACCAAAATTTTCTTTCCTTTTTTGCTGCGGTACTCGCTTTTCCTGTAGTGGTTCCGCTGGTCTCTCTGGGAAGCCCGCACCTTCTCAGCATCATCGATTTTTTGTTCCCTTCTCTGTGTGAAATGATCCCCACAGTTGCAGTCTGAAAACTCTCAAGGTTTTTTTTTTTTTTTCCTGGGGAAACGCTGTCCGGTTGATCTGTTTGCTGACAATTCTGGTTCTGACTCCTGAGTCTGTTTGCTGTGTCCACACAGTTGCAGTGTGACACCGCTGTAACTTGTCTGTGGGCTTGATCTGTGATCTGTTTGCTGACAATTCCAATTCTGAATCTGTTTGCTGACAACTCCAATTCTGATTCTGAATCTGTTTGCTGACAATTCCAATTCTGAATCTATTTGCTGACAACTCCAATTCCAATTCTGATTCTGAATCTGTTTGCCGATTGAGAATCTGTTTGCTGTGATTTCAGAATATGTTTGTGATCAACCGATCGTGCATGTATGTTCTGTGCTCACTTGCAGAGCTATGGCTCTGTGTGTGTGTGTGTGTGTGTGTGTGTGTGTGTGTGTGTGTGTGTGTGTGTGTGTGTGTGTGTGTGTGTGTGTGTGTGTGTGTGTGTGTGTTGTTTGTTTGTGTGTATGTGTGTGTATGTGAGAGT